CGCGCACACAAATAGGAGGGCTCACATATCCCCTTTCCTCAAACTAGCTGCCTGTGTCCTACAGGATGAGTTTTAAAATATTGTTACTGACGATCAAAGCTCTGCATGGTCTGGCTCCCACTTATATCAGTGATCTGATCCAGCCTTATGCCCCCACTCAGGTTCTGAGGTCTGTGGATCAGAACCTGTTGATGGTCCCATGCATGCATTCCGGACCAGAGGAGACCGGTCCTTCCAGGCTGTTGCTAAGCTCTGGAACAATCTTCCGCTCTCTCTGCGGTTGATGGAGTCTGTGGACTCATTCAAAGGTCAGCTAAAAACCTATTTATTTGGGCAAGCTTTTACAACATTTTCATGCGGCTGTTTTAACCTAGCTTGGTCGTACCACACCATAGTACAAATTACATTTTGTACTAAGGTCTGGAGGTGCTCCATTGAGCTCTGTTTACAGATAGGAGGGGTTAACTCTTTTTGCAGATTGAAATTATTGGATCTGAGTTTACCGTGACGTACAGTATGTCTTGTGGTCTTTTTTCTAGGGCTGTCAAAATTATCGCGTAAATCACGCATGCATGCGGGTGAGATGGCTACAGAGCAGGTAGGCATTAGTTATCATTAGCTAACTCACAAAATATACAGTACAATAACTAAAAGATTACCGCTAGTTTCGCGTCCAAAGTTAGTCTGAGGCAGTCCGCTCCCGCAGGTCTCTCCAGAGGATACGATGCAAGCTATGTTCATCCAGGATTGATTTTTTGGCTTTAGTTCCCTCTTCTCCTCCTCACTTTTGCATCTTTTGGGCTGTTTTTCTGCTGTGTATGCAGTTACAGCCAGAGGGGGTATAGCCATCTTCTCCTACCATGCTGCTGTTGTTTACATGCGGTGCGGACGCTAGAGGGGGCGTGGCCTAACAAGCTTCACGCAAAGTTTCTATTCAGAACTTTTTACGGCCTGATTTCCAACCATAGACTATAAATATTCATACACAAGCTGAATCATTGCGCTCAATATTTCCATTTTTTTTTCGTTCCAGCAATCCGGGTTCTGTCATAATACTGTATGTAGATTGCTGAAAATCAGGTAAAAGACAATAATTAATATGTTTTTTGCAGATTATAGCTTGATTGTAATAAGAATCATTTGAGATCACATGTACCCAATTAAAATGATGTTAGTCTCTTTTTGATGTGGGACTCGTATAAATGTATGTCTAAAAAATAGGGAATAAAAAAATCGAAGGGTGATATCCTCTGGAGGAAACCCTGATGTTGATACGCTGAAGAAATATGTTCCAACATCCATTCTTCCCACTTCTATTTTGGACATCAATTGTTTAATTATTTTGCATAATCTATGTATAATTCAATTGCTTTTATTTTGTTTTTCTCATCTCAAATGTTCAAATAAAATAAAATAAAAAAACATTCATTCAATACATTCAATCAACATTAGCACGGGTATCATGGAAATGTGAGAGACAGACAAACAACTGATTAAATAATTCCTTGTGTTTTGCTGCTGGATTTGGTGCATATTTGGCAACCTGAATCAGGGAGAGTGGGAGAGGACTACAAAATATTGACTGTGACTGCAGTACCACTTTTGGCCAGATTTTTACATATTGTTCCTTTAAATTACGGGTTTTAATACTTTTAATACAACTTAGAAAAAACACTGTCTACAAGAATATGTTGATAATGTTCATGCCGCTTTATGTTGATTTATTGTTAGGATAAACTAATACAATGCAATACAATGTATGTATAGCCCTAAGTCACAACAGAAGTCATCTCAGAGGACTCAACAAAATCATTGAAATCACCAACACAGATCAGAAAATCAACAGTTAAAAAACATAAAGAATATAGAACACATGTTGATAAATGTCCATACATGTTAAAGTGTCCTGGATCATCACCACAGTCCTTTTTGTTGGACACTAACTGTCCAACTGACCCTCCTGCATCGGCAAGGAAAAACTCATATGTACATTTTGTTGTCATATATTTTTCTATTTACACAACAATTTACAGAAAAATATGGCATAATTTTGCCGTTTGTTTGAAATGTGAATAAATAGGATAAATTAATTTTTAACCTCTTAACAACCGCCTCATTTTGGCTCGTGCACAATGGTTGGGCATACCCAAATGTCTTTGCTTATTTAAAAACACATCTTACATCTCACATGCTTGTGTGATGCATCATTTTAAAGCTAGAGCCTTCTAGTTTATGTAAAAAAACACTAAAATAATGTTTGTCATTCCTATTTTCCTCTGCATCCTTTGAAGTTAGGGAAAAAACCCAATTTTTTTTAGCCTCGCCTAACATTTTCAATTTCTAAAGGCCCTAAAAAAGGCATACTTCATTGTAAGTTCACAATATTCAAACCCTCTGTTCATTGTGTTGTTGACAACAACTGTCTAAAGTTTCAGACTTCTAAGTTTTATAGTTTTTATGCAGTTTCTCCTTTTCATCAAGTAGTGCACATTTGGCACAATTTGGCACAAGTGTGCCAAATTGTGCCAAATATCTTTACTTACATTTAATCATCATAAAAACAATATTTTTTATTATTGGTACTTATAAGTTACTAATCTATGTGTGTTTTTCTTTTTTAAATGTCAAAGTTATTTTTTTATGAGTGTAAATTCATTGCAGATTCGAGAGCGTCTTTTATCTTCCAGTACGCACAATTGTCCAGGCCCAACATAAGACAGGACACCATTGTCCCACCCCTTGTTCGAAAGCTTTCCTCATTGGCTACAAGGACATGTCAATCGTAAATCCCGGAAGTAAACGTAAACAAGTTGGGACCCCACAAAAGATCAGTCACCAATGCGCAAACAGCAGCACTAGCGTTATTTGCGGGACCTATTGCAGACCCAAAAATTGGTCTAGCTTTTCGGTAGTAGTCTTATTTGAAAGATAAGGAGCTAAGGAACACGTAGATACCAGATGTTTGGGTGAAAAACAAAGATAAAAGTCCGTTACAAGTGAAAGAGTAACATCTGGTGGACCGGCTGGTGTCCTGGTGCAGTGGTAACAACCTGGAGCTGAACGCCCAGAAGACAGTGGAGATGATTGTGGACTTCAGGAAGAGCACTGTCCCCCCGCCCCCACCCTCCGTGATGGACTCCCCCATCACCTCTGTGGAGTCCTTCCGTTTCCTGGGCACCACCATCACCCAGGACCTCAAGTGGGAGCCGACCATCAGCTCCCTCATCAAGAAGGCCCAGCAGAGGATGTACTTCCTGCGGCAGCTCAGGAAAGCCAAGCTGCCTGCACAGATGTTGGTGCAGTTCTACACGGCCATCATCGAGTCCATCCTCACCTCCTCCATCACCGTGTGGTTCGCTGGAGCCACAGTCAGGGACAAACAGAGACTACAGCGCATTGTGCGCTCTGCAGAGGAAGTGATCGGCCGCAGCCTTCCATCGCTGCAGGACCTGTACGTCGCCCGAGCTCGAGGCCGGGCTGGTCGTATCACAGCCGACCCCTCTCACCCTGCACATGGACTATTCCAACCACTCCCCTCAGGCAGGAGGCTGCGGTCCATCAGGACTAGAACCTCCCGCCACAAGAACAGTTTCTTCCCCTCTGCTGTTGGACTCTTGAACACTTCTTAACCTGTCCCCCCGCCCTTTATAAAGTCACTTTACTGCCCATCATACGTCACTTTACTTCACTGTACTGCTGTCACCTTACATTGTGTGCACCATGTGCACTTGTATATTGTAAATAGTAACTGTAACTCTATTTTAAATTTAAATTTATTCTTTAGAAGTGTTTTTTATTCTTATTTTTATTATCTCTTTTTGACTGTTGCACTGAGCCAAAGCAATTTCCAAGTCTGTGACCTCCCGTTACTTACGTTGGCAATAAAAATGATTCTGATTCTGATTCTGATCTGTGCTCTTTTTTTTTCGTTTTTTTCGCTAAAGATAAATGCACATTTTTGGATTATTTCTGCAGAATGGATTTTACTTTGGGAAATACAAGTGGATATAATTTTCCTTTGGACTGTTCCAGAGAGAATGATGTATTGCAAGCTGGGAGGAGAGCTGATTTATTTGTACAGCACAAGCCCAAAGGTAAAAAGCTATTTCGGAATTGATTTATTTTGTGCCCACATTATGTGTTATATCTTTTGAATGCAAAGTCTGATGTAGTTTACACTTGTATATAAATGTAGATAAGAAAATAAGCTTTAAAATGATATACAGCTTTTGGGGTTTGGTGTTCAAAATACATCTGCTATTGCCAGCAGAACATTTAAAAACATAAAAACGGCCGCCGGCGCGCCGGTTGTTGCTAAGTGGTGTAATTAACTTGACAGCCCTAATTTTTTTATTTTGTGTACGCACATTTTAAATTTTATTTGAAGCGCTTTGTGGCTTTGGTCTGTGAAAGACGCTGTATAAATAAAGCTTACTTACTTACTTACAAAAGTTACCCTGAATAGACCTTTCATTTGGTGGCTGATACCACTTTAGAATGCTTTTAACATTTACTCAAATAAAGTTGTACTGTGGTTACTTTTACAATAATAATAAGCAACAAATATTTATCTGTGATTTGAGTTTTAGTTCTATATGAAAAGCCACAGTAATTAAGTAACTTTACACTGCCAAACAGCATAATAAATTCCAAAGAAACACTAGTGAGATCAGGTGTGTACTTTAGGAAGGCACTAAATATCATCTTTAAAAAGTACTAATTCATAACAGAAAATTATTTTACATTTTGTTTCAACCTTGGTCTAATCCCGGTTTGAACCTGGACTAAGCTTTCTTTATCAAACAATAGAACAGGAGTAATTAAGAGTATCCATCACATTGAACTAAACAGCTTGTGGTGGCACATTGTAGCGTCGCCATGGAGATCAGACAGAAGCTCAGTCTGAGCGAGAGACAAATTGCTGAACATCCCAGGCAGTAAGAGCGCGCCAGCATGTGAGATCCACCATTCATCTCCTAACTTCCAGCAGGTACAGAGCTATGGCAGCCTTACAAGGTCAATATTTTACTTTGACTGTAATTTAATTAGAGTGCACCGGTGTCCCGGGAGAACCCACAGAGAAGGACCGCATGCATCCCTCTGTGTTGCAAACCAGACAATTTGTATCAAAAGCTGGCATGTTGTCATAATAGTTTTCTGGTATTTAAATGGGTAGTATGTAACTTTGATTTTTAAATTGCATCTACATGTGTTTTTGTTCCAGACACAAGGTCATCATGTGATGATCTTATTGGCCAGTTGTAATAAAAATATGAGTGATCTTATTGGCCAGTTGTAATCAAAATATGAGTGCTGATTTACTCTTGAGTGCAACACGAATGGACGTGATGGTCACTTTATTTATGTTGACACTTATTTTTTTGGTTCATTAGTTGAGAAACCAACCGGAAAGTCCCTTACTGGGCAATTACTCTCAAAAACAGTCAGAAGGACAGGCAGCATACCCCTGCTCACTTATGTGTCCTCACTCAGTCTGTATAAGGACATAATAATGTATTTCAACGAACAAAACGTTTTGTTTTTAATAAAAGTAAAATTTAATTTAGAGTTTTTCCTTGCCGATGCAGGAGGGTCTGTTGAATAGTTAGTGTGAAACAAAAAGGACTGTGGTGATGATCCAGGACACTCTACAAACATGTATGAACATCTATCAACATTCATGGACATTGGTCTCTCCCTATGGACCAATACATATCCATATTTCATGTGTTTTAACTGTTGATTCTCCGATCTGTGTTGGTGATTTCAATGGTTTTGTTAAGTCCTCTGAGATGACTGCTGTTGTGATTCAGGGCTATACAAGAATGAATTGTATTGTACTGTGTAATTGGAAATAAAGATTGGCCATTATTGGGGAAATTCTGAGTTTTGGTCCTTCCCAGGCTATCCAGCTGTGACACAGCACATAATCTATTCATGATGTCACAGATGTTCTATTCAAAAACGTGTTTGGGAAACTCAGGGAATCAGTTTTTCAACACAAGACAAATAGTGAGACAAACTCCACAGCCGTTCTGTCTCTTGACAATCTGATACTAATAACTTGTACTTTTGTTCTAGTTTAGTCCAGTATATTGACTTGCCAAATGACTAAGAACTCCAAAGTAAAATAAGAACCCAAAAATTGTCCAACATAAATGGAGGTTTCTCAAATTAAGAATGGGGCTTTGAGACGGTAAATTGGATAAAAGACCCTCTCTGCAGCCCAATGAGCCTCATCTTTACAGGTTTTTCTAGTCCAAACTAGAAAAACAATGCCGGAGGGGAAATACTTAGAAAACAGAAGAATCACTAAGCAGATAGAAAAGGTCCTTCCATCTCACATGGGACATCCCTCCAACTCAAGGTCTGAGAATGGAAGATTCTGCAAATCAAAAGAATAAACCTTTCCAAAGACAGGTCAGGGCTGACAAATCCAACTCAAATTCAGTCTAAACACAGGGTATTCAAAGGGCCGTTGTGGCTGCAAGTTTTAGTTCCTACCCAAGCAGGAGAACACCACAGTCCACCCAATTGCCCCGGATGAGTCCAGTGTTAGGCCCTGTCTCATTACCCACAATGCACCCTACACTCCTCTACAAAGTGTGCATTTGTTTGAAATGCACGCAAGGGTTTGAGTGCGCAGGTTACAAGCGTGCAAAAGAGGTGGAATTGGGACAGTGCACACTAGTAGTCAAGAGATGGTCATTTCTTGACTAGTCGAAAAATTAAAGGTCATTTCGTCTGACCCTGTGGGAAACAAAATGAGTTGCTCCACACACGTTAAAATAAATGTATATTGGTTATTTGTATTTTGAGATAGCTGTATAATTTTAAGTTAAATGTGGGTTATATGGTCAGTTTTTATACATCCTAACTTTATTGTACTAAGTGTAAAGTTTAAATTGAATGTTTTATGAATGCTTGCTTTAAAAAGTTATTAAATTGTTTAAATACAATGTCTGTAATTCTTCATCAGACATTCATGCTTCTTTCCAAGTAACATAGGAAAACTTATTTACACACATACAGCATATATATTTCAAAACTTACACTTAAATGCACTTTCCCAACGTGTTGGTGTGTACCGCAAAGAATTACGGGCAATATCCTTCGCCAGAGTCCGCTTAGATGCAGGCTACGGCAAAGTGTGGATCATGGGCGCAAAGGGGGCGGGGCGAAAGACCTCCCTGGAGAATTGGGACATCCTACGCACTCGCACCCATCATTGGGAACGCGCAAATGAGGGGCGTGAGGGTGGAAGTGCGAGTATTGGGACTGGGCCTGAATCACAACATTTGAGGAAATGGGTGGAGTCTGTTGTGCTCCTATTCAGCTTGGAACATAAACCTGAAGGTGAATCATGTCCAGCTCCAATCTCCCAACTATAAAAAAATGTCACAACAGTGGCGGCAGTGACGTTCTCATCTAAGATAAAACTGTCTGAGAAGTCCAACAGTGGATCTTGTTTGGAGTTTGAAACGAGCTGGAGTTAAATAGGAAAGAGGGAACCAAACACAAAATAAGAGAAGCTTGCCCCTAAACTGCATGATATTAGTCCACATGCACAATAATGTTAATAATCAGGAATGTGCATGATTGTTTTCCATTCAGTAAAATACTTACAATCATGCACATTCCAACAACAGTGGAAACTGAGGAAGTAAGGAACTCAATAAAAATTTATAAAACTGAATATTCAACATAAGGAAGTAAATAATAGAATGCATTATAATAAAAATAATCCACTTTGCAGTATAATTTTGAGAATTATTCTCATAAAGTGTCAGTGAGATGTATTTGTTTAGATGCAGGTATGCAGGGGTAAAGGTCTGCAAGATCTGCAAGATGATTAAGTGATGGGGAGCAGATCTGTGTTTTTAGAAGTGATGGATCAAAATAGTCACTTCTCTAACAATCTTCCAGTTGCGTTCCAATGGACTGCTTTTTTTCAAAAAAACGGTGACAACACACTAATCATGCACGATGCAACAACTGGCAACAAAGACAACCATTTATAATAGTCATATCATCCAGATTATCAGAATAAATCCTGTTTGGACCAGGGTTGGATTTACATGTAAGATTCATATTGGGTAGCACTGGCAGCATATTTATTTTCTTGGTAGTATAAAACGTCTGAGAACTACTATACGTTTTTTTAATGGGTAAAATCACGCCCATAATCCTAGACTCCGCCCACTCCTGTACATACGAATTAGAAACGAATTATTTTTTATGATTGTCATTATTTTCATCCTTAGTATAATTATCATTATCATTACTATTCTTGCTAACGCCTGTTTATATATCTATCTATTTAAATGCGCACATTATTCTGAGTTGGAATAAAAGCAGAGTGCTATTGGCTGAACGAACGCGGAAGTGGAGCGCTCTGTTGTTGTCAGCTGACCCGACGCTTCCTTCTTTGCCAGTGCCCAACAACAACGGAAAACTCAGCATGGCACGGGCGAAAGCGGAGCTCCCCTGGGCTGCACTGACTCTGTGGCTTCTCCTCATGTGGTCTGTGCCCGGTGCGGAGGCTTACGATGCGGGAGACGCCATCGCTCTGCTGCTGGGCTCCGTGATCACCGGGGTGGGCTTGTGCGCCTGTCTGGGCTGGTACACGCGCAGGAGGAACGAGCAGCTGTGATCGAGACTTTAGGACTGTTGCCATCTGTTACCTGCACATCTCTTCTCCACCTGAGCTCTTTAGAAGACACACGTTGGAGTCTGGGAGAGGAAGCAGCAGGCGTAAAGATGACGGGACACATTTGGAGCGCTATCCAGGAAGCAGGGAAATGAGAACTGACGGGGCACTGCACTCAGATCACTGACCAAATGCAGTCTGTTTCTGCTTTTTGATCGCTCTGTGTGTTGTAGGCGTTTTGAGGAATCATGTTGTTGCAATTACACATGTTGTATTGTACTATGCACTTATTAAGCCAAAGAAAGGGGATCAATAAAGTCATTGTCAAGTGATTGCAGTTGTATGAATGAATGTTGGTTCCTAAGAGGAGGGTTTCTAAAGTCATGAACATTGGCAAGACCAATGGTTCCCAAGGTGGGGTCAGGTCCTCCAGAACTTTGAGGCAATGTAATAGCCATAGACAAAACAACTGTTAGACTGCATGTTTCCAGAGGTCTTATGGGATCTGTGATTGAAAAGGTTTGGATTACAGCATGTTTCATTCAAATCACAAAGTCCAAACCATGACAACATCTGGTACAACCAAATTACTTTTTCATCACAGACCACAAAAAAACACTAAAGTACAAAGTGCAAAAGTCTAGTTTAGAAAATTAATTATGTCTTCTGTGCTTTTATGTGTATAGCACGATTCATAAGCTATTTGTGTGGCACAAATCACACTTAAGTACAAAGTTTATCAAAACAAGAAAGGACAAATACAAACTGATTACTTATATTACTATTCACATGCTTTTACTCAAGTTTGTAGGTAATACAAATAGGATCTCTAAGCCATGATTCAGTATATCCTTGTAAATGTTGGCGGATATTTCTGGCAATATTTAAAATAGATGGTATTAGCGATGTATTTGAAATAATATATAACATCAACTATTTGAGAACCAACCAAAGCATGCTTTTCATCTCATGAATTATAAAATGGAGAAAATGATAGCATAACATCTTGCATATGCCTTCTCATTATTATTTCATGTTGTTCTGGTGGTGGAATTCCCTTCAATCAGCTGCATCTGTACCAGCTGGACGTATACAACTTTATGTAATTGTATCGTTCGTTTTTTACACCAGCTACACACCACTTCTGTGCATGTTTCAGAAATCCAGCCTCAGTAAAAAGTACACCAAGAGGGAAAGTGCTTGTTAATTATGCATTACACAGGAAAGCTGCATCTGCACCAACCTTGTTCCCAGTCAAACATGTATGAGGACAATGGGATGTATGTTTACCTTTATAGAAAAGGAATTTTGAATGAATGATTCAATGGATTTATTTATTTGGGGTAGTACATCCCTTAGATATATAGATGGGTAGATAGAGATACTTTATTGATCTCCTGTAGGATCCCCCGTATATCAAAATGACAAACAAGTCCATGCCGAAATGGAGTGTGAGGAATTGAATAAATCAATTTCCTCTTACAACTTTTACACTTCATGTATCCGCTTCCTTCATTAGCCGAATTCAAAACTGGAGCTCATTAACATTTGTATTTGCGCAGTGGATAGCGCACTTTTGTTTCACATCGAGAATGTCCAGGGTTCGATTCCGTGCCCAGCACCCCTCTATGAAGTTTGCACATTCTCCCTGAGTCTAGCTTTCCTCTGGGTGCTCCAGTTTCCTAAACAAACACATGTACAATATGAGGGTTGAATACGTGTGTTTCTGAATGTTACTGTGGGACTACAGAGGGAAATAGCCTACTTAGCCACAATCTGGTGTTTACAGCACCTGCTGCTCATTAATACACACTGTCCCATCCAAATAAAATGAATGATTTAAAATATTTTTAACTAGTTGGGTGTGGTTGTACTGTACACTATAACCACAATGTTTAAAACCAGGTTAAAAACGGTTCTGTTCAGCTGTGCATACAACTGAGGGATTTTATATTTGTATCTTTCTTTTTAATGTACTGTGATTATTTATGATTTTAATGCTATCTTATTTTGCTCAGCACTTTGAATTGCCGTGTGTATGAATTGTGCTATATAAATAAACTTGCCTTGCCTTGCCTTGCACAATAGACATATCTTCAATAATTACGATAACCTTGTTCTGTTTCCATATTGTGCATATACGCCTTTTGTTGCTGCATTGAGATGAGCACTGCTCCAGTCTGTTGACAATAAAACAGTGTTGCACAGTGAATACACTCAAGCGACCAGCCCTCGCTCCGCCGTGGATGTGGAGCTACCGGAGCAGATCTGTGACGCGGACCTTACACCAGATGTTACCGTGAGAGAAGAGCGAGGCGCCGCTGTGCTGCCACCGCTGCTGCAACAAGACTCAAGACGCGTCTTGGATCACAAATAGGGATGCAGAACGCATGCGCATTGAGCTCCGTTTACTGTAGGATGTTCACTGTGGAGGAGAAAAAGGAGGCAGGCAGGCAGGGAAGGCAGGCAACAAATCCGGCTTTTCAGACAAAAAAACATAAAATGCCGACTGATGCAATGTAAATAACCGACCAGAGACAAAGGACCTGGGATTATCAACAGGTAGGGATTTTTTATTTTTATTTTTTGGACTGATTTGGACACCGAGATGAGCGTCTTGGTTTGAGCATTTACCTTTTCTTTTTTCTTTTCTTTTTGGCCTTGTGTTGTCTGTCTGGGCGATTCACATACATCGAAGACTTGGGGAGGACTTTAATCTAATGGACGCGCGGATACGTTACAATCTTGTGAGGCTTTTGGATACAACAACGCCTGCATTTGTTTTTTAAAGGAACGAGTTGGATTTAAACCAGCGAAAACGACGCGGCTGGCACTCGGAGGATGCATAATCTATTAAGACGTAAGTAGATATCAGACATCATCACAACAATGCAGCAGTACATCTGCGAGCTTGTCGTGAGGGCAAATAAAGCCGCGCATAGACAGCCCGTGAAAATGCAGTGTTATTCACAGTGGGGTCGATTTTTTTCCTCAACTCTTTGTAATCGGGAAAATGCGTGTAAAATGAGGGTAGGCGATAGAAACGTCGCCTTATCATGAGATCTTTGTAATAATCTAGTTAACCTTACAATAGACATAAACAACACCAGCGCTTCAGAGATTTTTCCACACAGCATCAAAGACGAGAGGGGGCGAGTTTATTCTAGGCATCCACCGCTTTAGAGCAGCCTGTGTTCTGCAGGGTGTGATCCAGAGACAGAGCTTGGACCGCATAAAAAAGGCGAGATAGACTGACAAAATGGATGAACGAAAAAAAAAAGAAAGAAAAAGAAACACCCTGAACGTATTTGTGCTGCACTTTCATAACAGACACGGCGCGGTGTGTGCGTGGCTTTTTTCATGTTGCTTTGTTCTGTAAATTCCAAAGCCCTCTTGGGAGAATATTGGCTCCTTTTTCACAATACACATAGATTTCGGCAACAATATATATCAATAGAGGTTTAGTTTTCAAATGAAATACATTGTAATTGAAATATGGGATTTTAAATAAAGACATACAGGCTGGGGAGAATGGGTTGTTTATCATTTAAAACCACTTGAAAGATATGCAGTTATGTTATGGCATTGAATGATGATGGCTGGGTGATATTTTTCAGGGATGTTTTTCAAGGTGTGATGAGACAAAGGAACAAAGGATGCCTTAGAGCTGAGGTCGCCTGTACGCCTGGAAACCTCTTCAAAGCACACAGCTAAATGGATGTAATGCCTCCCCTCGCTGCCTCTAGATCATGATACTCGGCTGAAGCTATCCCCGCTATCTATATGATCCCTCCTCCATCTATGGCGAACTATAGCCATGCAGGGGACCACACCATCTTGCAGAATGTCTCTCCTCTTGCCACGTTCCTTAAATTGACCTCCCTGGGTTTCATCATCGGCGTTGGCGTGGTTGGAAACCTTCTGATCTCCATCCTGCTGGTCAAAGACAAGAGCTTGCACCGGGCGCCGTACTATTTCCTGCTGGACCTGTGCGCGTCGGACATCCTGCGGTCTGCGATCTGCTTCCCCTTCGTTTTCACCTCGGTCAAGAATGGATCGGCCTGGACGTACGGCACGCTGACCTGCAAGGTGATCGCCTTCCTGGGGGTGCTGTCCTGTTTCCACACAGCGTTCATGTTGTTCTGTGTGAGCGTCACGCGATACCTGGCCATTGCGCATCACCGCTTCTACACCAAGCGCTTAACTTTCTGGACGTGTTTGGCGGTCATCTGCATGGTGTGGACACTGTCGGTGGCGATGGCGTTCCCCCCAGTGCTGGACGTGGGGACGTACTCGTTTATCCGTGAGGAGGATCAGTGCACGTTCCAGCACCGCTCCTTCAGGGCCAACGACTCGCTTGGCTTTATGCTGCTGCTGGCGCTAATCCTCCTGGCCACACAGCTGGTTTACCTCAAGCTCATTTTCTTTGTTCATGACCGCCGGAAAATGAAACCAGTCCAGTTTGTGCCTGCTGTCAGCCAGAACTGGACTTTCCACGGGCCGGGTGCAAGCGGGCAGGCCGCTGCTAACTGGCTCGCGGGGTTCGGTCGTGGGCCCACCCCGCCTACTCTGCTGGGCATCCGGCAGAACACCAATGCAGCAGGTCGCCGCCGCCTGCTGGTGCTGGACGAGTTCAAAACCGAGAAGAGGATTAGTAGGATGTTCTACATCATGACCTTTTTCTTCTTGGCTCTGTGGGGGCCCTATCTGGTAGCCTGTTACTGGAGGGTGTTTGCCAGGGGCCCAGTAGTCCCTGGGGGCTACTTGACCGCAGCCGTGTGGATGAGCTTTGCCCAAGCTGGGGTCAACCCCTTCATCTGCATCTTCTCTAACAGGGAGCTGCGACGCTGCTTCAGCACCACTCTGCTCTACTGCAGGAAATCCAGATTACCGAGGGAACCTTACTGCGTTATATGAGGGCCCAGTCTGGGTCTCTGGTCCCAGATTGATCTGTACAGCGCTCTTTCTTTTCCTCTCTTCATGTCTCTCTGACTTGGAGAAAG